AGGGCAATAGAGTTCAAAGTGATGACGAGAGTGGCTAGCACAGGTATTGTGGGACACTTCCGGAGGCCAATCAGAGCACACTATAGGACCAGGGCGTCCACACTGGTGCCGCGGCGCTCCAGCGGGGGTGCACAAAACGTTATTCCGCTTGCCGAGGTGGAGTATCAACAGCATTGTAGCCGCGGAGTCAGAGCTCTCTACTTGCCTTGCCAGTGTGGACGGGTAGTGAACTAGTTTGCCCGGGGCTCCTTTATTGCGCTCTAACTCGCAAGTGTATCCAAGCCCTTAGAGTTAGTGCGTGGCAAGCCAGGGTGTGAACATACAGTGCACTGGCTTGCCACAGGCTAACTGGCTGCGTGGACCCTGGGGCTGTGTGCTAAAAGTGTACTTTGATGTCCTGCTGTTTGAACGGGAGTACACTGAAGTACAGTAGGGAGCTTTCGGGGTACGGCAGCAGGGTCTGCACGGGGCTTTCAGGGCGTGCAGGTTGGGTAGGGCACTGTATGTTCACACACTGGTTTGCAGCATACTAACTTTCCATGTAGATTGTGAGGTAATATCTTTTATTGAATCATAGAATCCTAGAATATCAGGGTTGGAAGGGACCTCAGGAGGACATCTAGTGCAACCCCCTGCTCAAAGCAGCACCAATCCCCAACTCAGTCATCCCAGCCAGGGCTTTGTCAAGCCTCACCTTAAAAACTCCTAGGGAAGGAGATTCCACCACCTCCCTAGGTAATGCATTCCACTATTTCACCACACTCATAGTGAAAAAGTTTTTCCTAATATCCAACCTAAATCTCCCCCACTGCAACTTGAGACCATTACTCCTTGTTCTGTCATCTGCTACCACTGAGAACAGTCTAGAGCCATCCTCTTTGGAACCCCCTTTCAGGTAGTTGAAAGCAGCTATCAAATCCCTCCTCATTCTTCTCTTCTGCAGACTAAACAATCCCAGTTCCCTCAGCCTCTCCTCATAAGTCATGTGCTCCAGCCCCCTAATTATTTTTGTTGCCCTCCGCTGGACTCTTTCCAATTTTTCCACATCCTTCTTGTAGTGTGGGGCCCAAAACTGGACACTACTCCAGATGAGGTCTCACCAATGCCGAAGTATAAGGAATTAACACATGTTGCAAGAAACACCTTAAAGGAGAGTTATGGGTTACCAGTTGTGCTACTGAGACATAAAGCCAGTATCTCTGCAGGGTATCATGAAACAATTACAGCCCACGCTTGACAGTGACCACATCCTGGAAGAAACCTTTCCCAAACAACCTCGCCAAGCTCATCAGAAGCAAGCTTCCCACAGACCACGACACACCAGCTGAACAGATGCAAAGCCTGCAGTGTCCTCTCCACTGCTATGATGATCAACACTCCCCACAACATGCCTTTCAGGGGTCCTACGCATGCCTATCACAACACATGGTGTACCTCACCCAGTGTATCAACTAGGTGGGTGAAATCAGAATGATGTGCGCTCGAACAAAGCTGTGCAGAAATGTGCGCTGTGCACGCGAATGAAGTCTCGCAGAAAAATAAGACACAAACACCACAAAACAATTGCTCCATATCTGACCTCTCAGTCTTCCTCCTCAAAGGAACCTTCCCAGCACCTTCAGAAGGTGAACCTGAGAGCTGAAATTCATAACTCTGGTGGATACCAAAAATCATGGACTCACAGAGAGGGTGGTTTTATCTCTCATTACAAGGGCCTGTAACCCAGTAACTCTCCTTTATCCTGCAGAGGTGTTAATAGCTCACTTCAGTTGGAATGGTCTCTTGCAACACTTTAACTCCTTATGCTTAACAATCTGTTCCGCCTTGTATTTAGCTGTGACACTCGGAGTACCTTCCTCAGACCAGAAGGAGAGGTCTGTGGCACTCAAGTTTGTCTCTTTTACTGGGACAGCTTCTGTTGGTAAAGATCCTCATCCGCCTTGTCTCTCTTATCCTGGTACCAATGCAGCAACACTGCAAGCAGGTAGATTGTGACAGAGATGGCAATTTCCTGGACAAACCTTAAAATAATTAAGTTTAAGTATTTTAGGAGTTCAGTGTGTTCAAAATGCAAATGGTTATGTATTGTTGTGGGACTGTGTAACGTCCTTAGGGGGCAGCCATGTCTAATGTAAACTCTGGGAAGTATTCTGAGCCTCAAAAGACTGTTTGAAACAATGGGCCAGACAAGAGTGAACTTTCAAAATTCTAGGAGTACTTGTGGCACCTTAGAGACTAACAGATTTATTTGGGCATAAGCTTTCGTGAGCTAAAACCCACTTTGTGGTTTCCCAGGAAAGCTCTAGGGGAATTGTTAAGCCGATGTCTGCAAGAACTCAGCCTGCAGAAGCTTTGCACCAGGGAGTCTGCTGATCACTTGTTACATGAGGAGAAGCTCAGAGCCCTAACTGTGAAGTGGTAACTCACACCATGACACAGGGGCGTGCTTGTTCTGAGCAAAATGTGTCAGGAACTTGCAAAGCCTTGCAAGTGGCTGGAAGCCCCCGATTTCACTTGGTGTGGGGCTTGATAGACTCTCTAGTCCTGGGCTGCTTGACAAGGCTACAGCCTTGGGCTGATGGGACCGACTGGTTGATGGAGGAGGGAGTTACTGTCCCCACACCTCCTGCTGAGCCCCCCACCCCCGAAGCAAAAGTGGCCTTTGGACTCCTGTTGTGCTAAGAACTGGCCCTGAACTCCACAGGCCCTGAACAACCCTCCAAAAACTCCTCCATCGCTGCTGACCTAATCTGGACAGGCAGGGCAGCCTAGATGTTGGACTGTACAGCATCATATCAACTCCTTGACCCAGCCAGTTCCACAGCCCTTCAGATTTGTGCTGTGCTGGGGCCTACCCAGCAATGGGACCCTCATCAGCATCTCAGGCCAGCTGCAGAGCCGCTACCACTGAAGGAGAGATGGCCCCTAGGGGCTGGTATTGGACAGGCTTTCCCATCAAAGTGGGGTCACTATCTCTGTCCTGCCCTTCCTGCAGAGACTTGTTGTTTCCATTTGCCAGAGTTAGCTCTCACTGCAGACCTTGTTCATTGCCTGCTCTCTTTCTCTGTTTCTGCTGGGACCAGTCCCATTGCTGGGAGCTCTGTGAACACTGTGCTAGCTGGCCTGTTAATCAAAGCCTGGGCCATGGCTGGCTGTGACCTTTGTGCTGAGGTGTTTGTAAACAGGCAGGCTGTCTCTAGAATTGTGTTGAGTTGCTTCCCCCCCCCCCCCCCCCCAACACCCCCTCACAGACCCATGGGGATTGTTCAGGGCTCCAGCAATCAGAACCAGATCAAGCAGGCTGAGAGCTCTGTTACATCGGGTGCTATCAGAGATGGGGTCTGTGAGAGCTAGGAGGTGTCCTTTGCAGGGCTGGATCATTTTGAGCAGAGTTCACTTGCCTGTTGGCCCCCTTTACCTGCCACCTGGGGCTTGGGTTGACTCTTTCATCTTAGGCTGCTACTCCTCCCAGTGCTCTCTCAGATTCCTAAAAGGACACACACATGCCTATGTCACACTGTGTGTCTGGGGGACATGTTAGAAGCATGTCTCTATGTGGCCACCATATAATTCCAGTGCTGAATTGAGGCAGATTTAGGTGGCAGTTGGAACCCAGGACCCCTATCCTGTGGCAGACTGGTTGACTTTAGGCAAGTCACTTTCTCTCTGTCTGTCTGAGATTACCTCCATGTACAGATGGGATAAAACCACCAAGGTGTCTGCTGAGGTTTGTGAAACACTGTGGGTTTGCCCAGTGGTATCAGGGTACAAACCATGTCTTTGTGGGAAGCAGCTCCCCTCTCCACTGAGTAAGAGGGAACAGGAACGCCAGCAAAAAAGGGACTTGGGATCCCAGGCGGCTAGGCGCTGAGAGCACGAAGTGCAGCATAGTGAATGTCAGGGTTCCTTCCCCACTCTGAACTCTAGGGTACAGATGTGGGGACCTTACTCTTACCAGCTTAGGTTAAAAACTTCCCCAAGGTACAAACTTTGCCTTGTCCTTGAATCGTATGCTGCCACCACCAAGCGTGTTAAACACACACCAGGGAAAGAGCCCACTTGGAGACGTCTACCCCAAAATATCCCCCCCCCCAGCCCTATCCCCCCTTTCCTGGGGAAGGCTTGATCAAAATCCTCAGCAGTTTGTACAGGTGAACACAGACCCAAACCCTTGTATCTTAAGAACAATGAAAAATCAATCAGGTTCTTAAAAGAAGAATTTTAATTAAAGAAAAGGTAAAAGAATCACCTCTGTAAAATCAGGATGGTAAATACCTTACAGGGGTAATCGGATTCAAAACATAGAGAATCCCTTAAGTTACAAAAAGACACAAAAGCAGGAATATACATTCCATCCAGCACAGCTTATTTTACCAGCCATTAATCAGACGGAAATCTAACGCATTTCTAGCTAGGTTACTTACTTACTAACAGAAGTTCTAAGACTGCATTAGAGTGGGGTGAAATTCAGAGGGGGGAATCTGAGCTTCCAGCACGGGCTCTTTCTGACCGAGCCCTACTGGGAAAGGTGGGAGCTCCATTACTCTAAACCTAGTCTGGAGAAAGCTGTGGGCAGTGCTCGCTAGGGAAGTGAACTGGCCAATAGCCGTGTTCGTTGGGTGGTCGGGCTCTAGGTGGTGTGGGACCCCGGTGTGGGGTCTCTTCCTCTGTCCTGCCTGCGTTAGCCGTGGCACAGAATATGCACAGAATGCATTTGCATTTCCCGTGGCTGGCAGGCGTGTTCTGGCCTGTGCGTCATGCGGGGAGCAGCAGTGGACTGGGCACAGTGCGCTAGCAGAGTTCTAGGTACTGAGCAAGGAGTGTCTTCGCTCCTGGTAAGAGCCTCTGTTAACACCTGGGCAGTGTTGGCTGTCTGCTTGGAGCAGGCTGGTTACTTCATGCCAGGGCCTGCCGTCTGGCAGCAGCGAGCCTGCGGCCCGGCTCCCTTGTGGGGTTGGGGTGCATGTTGTCTAATCGTGGTTCCCTCTGCTTCTTTCCAGGTTTCAAGTGCCCCATTTGCTCCAAATCTGTGGCTTCTGACGAGATGGAAATGCACTTTATCATGTGTCTGAGCAAGCCCCGCCTCTCCTACAACGGTAAGGGCTCCCTTTGTGTGCAGCAGCTGGCTCGTGAGCCCTAGGGAGGGCCAGTAAACATCACAGGGTTTGCTAGGCAGCTCAGCCCAGGAGACGGAGAAAAGCCTCATCGCAGGTAGACGTGCTGCGTCCCTCCAGGAGAGGGCCCAACTGTCAGGCTTGGAGGGGTCAGCTTTAGCTGGCTTGCCTCGGGGAAGCATAGAATCATAGAATATAAGGGTTGGAAGGGACCCCAGAAGGTCATCTAGTCCAACCCCCTGCTCGAAGCAGGACCAAATCCCAGCTAAATCATCCCAGCCAGGGCTTTGTCAAGCATGTCCAGATAAATGCTCTCCTGGGCTATGAGTTAGCCCCACCCCCAGCTTATCCAGGGCTCTTGCTTCTTTCCACACTTTGGATACAGGAGCTGCCCCGTCTCGGCCATGCCCTTCCCCCCTGCTTTGCTTCCAGCTCAGGGACTTCCCATCACACTTGTGTTCTTCAGCTGGGAGTGGCCAACCAGCTATTGGTCCTGTGTGCCCAGGCCTCTGCTCTCCACCCCCTTGTTAGGTGTAACACCCTTCCCCACACAGCCCCCATCCAGCCCTACTTGGCTCTTCTCAAAACTACCCCAGTGGGGGGGAAAGGGGGCAGCTAGCTGGGTCACACGTGTGGGGCTGGGGGCTGAGGATCAACCCTGTTGGCTTGCACTGTGCAGAGCTTTGTCTTGCCAGGTGGGAGTGGGGTGGAGGAGTGTGTGGGGAGAAGATGGGGCAGCCCGAGACATAGGCTGTGCTGGGAGCAGAAACCCTGAAGTGTAGTGTCTGGGGAGGGTGGGCTATGTGCATTTCCTTCAGAGCATTTGTGGGGCGGGAGTGCCCCCAGGGCACTCTGGGGTCACTTCATTTCTCCCAGTGACTTGATCAGTGAAGAATTGAACACTGGGGATGGGAACTGATTGGCCTAACTTGGTTACGCAGCCAAGACACTGTGTGGCTGGTGGTAGGATCTAGTGGTCCAGGTAACCCACTTCCTGGGAAATAGTCAAGATGGGTTTTGTAAAGGGAAATCATGCCTCACCAGTCTACTAGAATTCTTTGACGGGGTCAACAAGCATGTGGACAAGGGGGATCCAGTAGATATAGTGTATTTAGATTTTCAGAAAACCTTTGACAAGGTCCCTCACCAAAGGCTCTTAAGCAAAATAAGCAGTCATGGGATAAGAGGAAGGGTGTTCTCATGGATTGGTAACTGGTTAAAAGATAGGGAACAAAGGGTAGGGAATAAATAGTCATTTTTCAGAATGGAGAGAGGTAAATAGTGGTGTCCCCCATGGGTCTGTACTGGGCCCAGTCCAATTGAACATATTCAGAAATGATCTGGAGAAAGCAGTAAACAGTGAGGTGGCAAAATTTGCAGACACAAAACTACTCAAGATAGTTAAGTCCCAGGCAGACTGCGAAGAGCTACAAAGAGATCTCACAAAACTAGGGGTATGTCTACACTACAAAATTAGGTTGATTTTGTAGAAGTTGATTCTTAGAAATCGATTTTATACAGTCAATTGTGTATGTCCCCACTAAGCGCATTAAGTCAGCGGAGTGTGTCCTCAATACCATGGCTAGCATCAACTTACAGAGTGGTGCACTATGGGTAGCTATCCCACAGTTCCCGCAGTCTCTGCTGCCCATTGGAATTCTGGGTTACGCTCCCAATGCCTGATGGGGCAAAAACATTGTCGCAGGTGGTTTTGGGTACATGTCTTCAGTCGCTCCTCCCTCCCTCCCTCCGTGAAAGCAACGGCAGACAATCGTTTTGCGCCTTTTTTCCTGGGTTACCCGTGTGGACGCCGTACCACAGCAAGCATGGAGCCCGCTCAGCTCACCACTGCTGTTGTGAGCACTGTAAACACCTCGCGCATTATCCTGGAGGATGTGCAGAACCGGGCTAAGAGGCGCCAGCACGAGGACGACTGATCGGTTCATGGACACAGACGTTCCTGAAAGCATGGGCTGTGGCAATTGGGACATCATGGCGGCAGTGGGGCTGGTTGATACAGTGGAACGCCGATTCTGGGCCCGGCAAACAAGCACAGACTGGTGGGATCGCATAGTGTTGCAGGATTGGGATGATTCACAGTGGCTGTGAAACTTTCGCATGCGTAAGGCCACTTTCCTTGAACTTTGTGAGTTGCTTTCCCCTGCCCTGAAGCGCAGGAATACCAAGATGAGAGCTGCCCTGACAGTTGAGAAGTGAGTGGCGATAGCCCTGTGGAAGCTTGCAATTTCTGACTGCTACCAGTCAGTCAGGAATCAATTTGGAGTGGGCAAGTCTACTGTGGGGGCTGCTGTGATTCAAGTAGCCAGGGCAATCACTGACGTTCTGCAATCAAGGGTAGTGACTCTAGGAAATGTGCAGGTCATACTGGATGGCTTTGCTGCAATGGGGTTACTTAACTGTGGTGGGGCGATAGACGGAACGCATATCCCTATCTTGGGACCGGACCACCTTGCCAACCAGAACGTAAACCGCAAGGGGTGCTTCTCAATGGTGCTGCAAGCACTGGTGGATCACAAGGGACGTTTCACCAACATCAACGTGAGATGGCTGGGAAAGGTGCATGACGCTCGCATCTTTAGGAACTCCAGGCAGTTTGAGCAGTTGCAAGAAGGGACTTACTTCCCAGACCAGAAAATTACCATTGGGGATGTTGAAATGCCAATAGTTATCCTTGGGGACCCAGCCTACCCCTTGCTTCTATGGCTCATGAAGCCGTACACAGGCAGCTTGGACAGTAGTAAAGAGCAGTTCAACTATAGGCTGATCTAGTGCAAAATAGTGGTAGAATGTGCCTTTGGACGTTTAAAAGCTCGCTGGCACTGTTTGCTGACTAGGTGAGAGCTCAGCGTAACCAACATTCCCATTGTTATTGCTGCTTGCTGTGTGCTCCATAATATCTGTGAGAGTAAGGGGGAGACGTTTATGGCCAGGTGGGAGGCTGAGGCAAATTGTCTGGTGGCTGATTTTGAGCAGCCAGACACCAGGGCGATTAGAAGAGCACAGCTAGGCGCGCTGCGCATCAGAGAGGCTTTGAAAACCAGTTTCGTGACAGTTGTGTGTGTTTCTCCTTGCTGCAAACCCGCCCCCTTTGTTGATTTTAATTTCTTGTAAGCCAACCACTCTCCCCCCTTCGATCACAGCTGGCAAAGGAAATAAAGTAACTATTGTTTTGAAACCACGCATTCTTTCTTTATTAAAAAAAAAAGTGAGATAACTGACAAGGTCGGCCGGGTGGGGTAGGGTGCGGGAGGAGGGAAGGACAAGGCCACATTGCTTATTGTAGCCACACTACAAATCATAGAATCATAGAATATCAGGGTTGGAAGGGACCTCAGGAGGTCATCTAGTCCAACCCCCTGCTCAAAGCAGGACCAATCCGCAACTAAATCATCCCAGCCAGGGTTTTGTCAAGCCTGACCTTAAAAATATCTAAGGAAGGAGATTCCACCACCTCCCTAGGTAACACATTCCAGTATTTCAGCACCCTCCTAGTGAAAAAGTTTTTCCTAATATCCAACCTAAACCTCCCTCACTGCAGCTTGAGACCATTACTCCTTGTTCTGTCATCAGCTACCACTGAGAACAGTCTAGATCCATCCCCTAACTCAGGGGTTATACCGTATGATTGGAGAATTGCTGACATAGTTCCTATTTTTAAGAAAGGGAAAAAAAGTGATCTGGGTAATTATAGGCCTGTTAGTTTGACATCTGTAGTATGCAAGGTCTTGGAAAAAATTTTGAAGGAGAAGGCAGTTAAGGACATTGAAGTCAATGGTAAATGGGACAAAATACAAAACATGGTTTTACAAAAGGTAGATCGTGCCAAACCAACCTGATCTCCTTCTTTGAGAAAGTAACAGATTTTTTAGACAAAGGAAACACAGTGGATCTAATTTACCTAGATTTCAGTAAGGCGTTTGATACCGTGCCACATGGGGAATTATTAGTTAAATTGGATAAGATGGGGATCAGTAGGAAAATTGAAAGGTGGATAAGGAATTGGTTAAAGGGGAGACTACAACGGGTCCTACTGAAAGGTGAACTGTCAGGCTGGAGGGAGGTTACCAGTCAAGTTCCTCAAGGATTGGTTCTGGGACCAATCTTATTTAATCTTTTTATTACTGACCTTGGCACAAAAAGCGGGAATGTGCTAATAAAGTTTGCGGATGATACAAAGCTGGGAGGTATTGCTAATTTAGAGAAAGACAGGGATATCCTGCAGAAGGATCTGGATGACCTCGTAAACTGGAGTAATAGTAATAGGATGAAATTTAATAGTGAGAAGTGTAAGGTCATGCATTTAGGGATTAATAACAAGAATTTTAGTTATAAGCTAGGGATGCACCAATTAGAAGTAACGGAGGAGGAGAAGGACCTTGGAGTATTGGTTGATCATAGGATGACTATGAGCCGCCAATGTGATACGGCCGTGAAAAAAGCTAATGCGGTCTTGGGATGCATCAGGAGAGGTATTTCTAGTAGGGATAAGGAGGTTTTAGTACCGTTATACAAGGCCCTGGTGAGACTTCACCTGGAATACTGTGTGCAATTCTGGTCTCCCATGTTTAAGAAGGATGAATTCAAACTGGAACAGGTACAGAGAAGGGCTACTGGGATGATCCGAGGAATGGAAAACTTGTCTTATGAAAGGAGACTCAAGGAGCTTGGCTTGTTTAGCCTAACTAAAAGAAGGTTGAGGGGAGATATGATTGCTCTCTCTAAATATATCAGAGGGATAAATACTGGAGAGGGAGAGGAATTATTTAAGCTCAGTACCAATGTGGACACAAGAACAAATGGATATAAAGTGGTCACCAGGAAATTTAGACTAGAAATTAGATGAAGGTTTCTAACCATCAGAGAAGTGAAGTTTTGGAATAGCCTTCCAAGGGAAGCAGTGGGGGCAAAAGATCTATCTGGCTTTAAGATTAAACTCGATAAGTTTATGGAGGAGATGGTATGATGGGATAACATGGTTTTGGTAATTAAATATTCATGGTAAATAGGCCCAATGGCCTGTGATGGTCTATTAGATGGGGTGGGATCTGAGTTACCCAGGAAAGAGTTTTTCTGTGGTATCTGGCTGATGAATCTTGCCCATATGCTCAGGGTTTAGCTGATTGCCATATTTGGGGTCAGGAAGGAATTTTCCTCCAGGGCAGATTGGAAGAGGCCCTGAAGGTTTTTCACCTTTCTCTGTAGCATGGGGCACGTGTCACTTGCTGGAGGATTCTCTGCTCCTTGAAGTCTTTACGATTTGAGGACTTCAATAGCACAGACATAGGTGTGAGGTTTTTTGCAGGAGTGGTGGGTGAAATTCTGTGGCTTGCGTTGTGCAGGAGGTCAGACTAGATGATCATAACGGTCCCTTCTGACCTAAATATCTATGAATCTTTGGAACCCCCTTTCAGGTAGTTGAAAGCAGCTATCAAATCCCCCCTCATACTTCTCTTCCGCAGACTAAACAATCCCAGTTCCCTCAGCCTCTCCTCATAAGTCATGTCTTCCAGTCCCCTAATCATTTTTGTTGTACTCCACTAGACTCTTTCCAATTTTTCCGCATCTTTCTTGTAGTGTGGGGCCCAAAACTGGACACAGTACTCCAGATGAGGCCTCACCAGTGTCAAATAGAGAGGGACGATCATGTCCCTCGATCTGCTGGCAGTGCCCCTACATATACATCCCAAAATGCCATTGGCCTTCTTGGCAGCAAGGGCACACTGTTGACTCATATCCAGCTTCTCGTCCACTGTAACCCCTAGGTCCTTTTCTGCAGAACTGCTGCCGAGCCATTCGGTCCCTAGTCTGTAGCGGTGCATTGGATTCTTCCGTCCTAAGTACAGGACTCTGTACTTGTCCTTGTTGAACCTCATCAGATTTTTGGCCCAATCCTCTAATTTGTCTAGGTCCCTCTGTATCCTATCCCTACCCTCTAGGGTATCTACCACTCCTCCCAGTTTAATGTCATCTGCAAACTTGCTGAGGGTGCAATCCACACCATCCTCCAGATCATTAATAAAGACATTGAAGAAAACCAGCCCAAGGACCGACCCTTGGGGCACTCCACTTGAGACCGACTGCCAACTAGACATGGAGCCATTGATCACTACCCGTTGAGCCCGACAATCTAGCCAACTTTCTATCCACCTTATAGTCCATTCATCCAGCCCATACTTCTTTAACTTACTGGCAAGAATACTGTGGGAGACCGTGTCAAAAGCTGTTTGAATGACAGTCTTCTGTTGCTTGGGCCATCCTCTGGAGTGGAATGGCTGGGTGCCGAGAGCCTCCCCCACCGCATTCTTGGGTGTCTGGGTCAGGAGGATATGGAACTTGGGGAGGAGGACAGGCGGTTGGGTTAGGGTTAGGGGGAGCATAGAAACATTTGCACCTGGGGGAAGATAAAAAGGGAGAGTAAAATTTAAGATGATACATTTCTGAGAACACAAGGGAGACTCTTTCACAGTGAATCAAGCAATTCAGAGCAGACAGCACATGTGTTTTAGGTACAAGGTCGCATTTTGCCTTTTATATTGAGCGCCTGCCAGTATGGTGACTCATCACAAACAGCTGGGCCGCAGAATTCGGTTTCCAGGCAGCCATGGTAAGCCTTTTGGTACGCGGGGTTGGCATCTTACACCTTCATAACATGTGGGAATGGTTTCAAATTGCAGTTCCATCCTGTCCCATAGCAAGCAATGCCGGTTGGGTTTCACATTTAAAAGGAGGGGCTGCAGTTTTCAGGTGGATGTGCAGCACCCCGCACCTCACTGCACCGCGTGGCTATTCTCTGAGATGATCCCTTCACCCCTCCCCCCGCCGCTTAGCTATTCATAGAATCATAGAATATCAGGGTTGGAAGGGACCCCTGAAGGTCATCTAGTCCAACCCCCTGCTCGAAGCAGGACCAATTCCCAGTTAAATCATCCCAGCCAGGGCTTTGTCAAGCCTGACCTTAAAAACCTCTAAGGAAGGAGATTCTACCACCTCCCTAGGTAACGCATTCCAGCGTTTCACCACCCTCTTAGTGAAAAAGTTTTTCCTAATATCCAATCTAAACCTCCCCCACTGCAACTTGAGACCATTACTCCTCGTTCTGTCATCTGCTACCATTGAGAACAGTCTAGAGCCATCCTCTTTGGACCCCCTTTCAGGTAGTTGAAAGCAGCTATCAAATCCCCCCTTATTCTTCTCTTCTGCAGGCTAAACAATCCCAGCTCCCTCAGCCTCTCCTCATAAGTCATGTGTTCCAGACCCCTAATCATTTTTGTTGCCCTTCGCTGGACTCTCTCCAATTTATCCACATCCTTCTTGTAGTGTGGGGCCCAAAACTGGACACAGTACTCCAGATGAGGCCTCACCAATGTCAAATAGAGGGGAACGATCATGTCCCTCGATCTGCTCGCTATGCCCCTACTTATACATCCCAAAATGCCATTGGCCTTCTTGGCAACAAGGGCACACTGCTGACTCATATCCAGCTTCTCGTCCACTATCACCCCTAGGTCCTTTTCCGCAGAACTGCTGCCTAGCCATTCGGTTCCTAGTCTGTAGCGGTGCATTGGATTCTTCCATCCTAAGTGCAGGACCCTGCACTTATCCTTATTGAACCTGATCAGATTTCTTTTGCCCAATCCTCCAATTTGTCTAGGTCCCTCTGTATCCTATCCCTCCCCTCCAGCGTATCTACCACTCCTCCCAGTTTAGTATCATCCGCAAATTTGCTGAGAGTGCAATCCACACCATCCTCCAGATCATTTATGAAGATATTGAACAAAACCGGCCCCAGGACCGACCCTTGGGGCACTCCACTTGACACCGGCTGCCAACTAGACATGGAGCCATTGATCACTACCCGTTGAGCCCGACAATCTAGCCAGCTTTCTACCCACCTTATAGTGCATTCATCCAGCCCATACTTCTTTAACTTGCTGACAAGAATACTGTGGGAGACCATGTCAAAAGCTTTGCTAAAGTCAAGAAACAATACATCCACTGCTTTCCCTTCATCCACAGAACCAGTAATCTCATCATAAAAGGCGATTAGATTAGTCAGGCATGACCTTCCCTTGGTGAATCCATGCTGGCTGTTCCTGATCACTTTCCTCTCATGCAAGTGCATCAGGATTGATTCTTTGAGGACCTGCTCCATGATTTTTCCAGGGACTGAAGTGA